ACTTTTGCCAATTAAAACGCTGAATCCAAAACATTCCTGAATAATAGTCAACTCTCCGCAAAACTAACGAACGCATTTCACCCTGAGCGGCTGCCTATTTGTCCTTCTCTGCAGACTATAATGTCAAGCATTGTGGCAGGTTTTTACTTTCTGATTTTTTGGATGCTTTTACAAATGCCTTGTGATGGGACTACTTTGATGAGTCCTGATGACAGCCACAGCTTGTGAAATGTCAAGGGTGGGCATGCCGAATGGAATCTAGAAAGAGACAAAGCATACGCTGGATTAGTCCCTTTCTGAAAATCGCCCGTCATAGAGTCATAGACTCCCCCAAAGACCACTTAGGTCAGTTCTCCCCACGTGTAGCTGCACATCAGGAGCATGTGGAGAACTTAGAAAAAATTCTTGGGTCTCAACCAACATCTAAACATTTAGAATCTCTGGAGGTAAGACCCAGAGAGATTGTGGGGTTGTTTTTTGGGTTTGGGTTTTTTTGTTTGTTTGTTTGTTTGTTTGTTTACACTTTGTAGGCAATTCTGATGCACATCTATGTCTGGAATTCCCTTGTCTTATTCAGTCCTTTTTTGGTACTCCCCTCTACAGGATTTTGGCAAATGGTTGTCTATCCCTTCTTGTACTCCTCCAGGGATGGGGGGCTCACTGCCTTTCAGAGCAGCCCCTCCTATCCTTCCTTAGCCAGCTCTGCTTTCTTAGAAGGTTCTTCCTCTGCCCCCTCTAACTCCCCTCACTAGGATGCCACAGATGCCTGTCTTTGGCCTTTGGAGATTTGGAGGGTGCAAACGTGTCCAATGAGTTCTAAGGAGTGGACACCCCAGTTCCTTCAGCTGTTCCCCTTAGGACACAGCCTGAACCTCTCCCTATGGGGCCACTTCCTGGCTGCCACTGGCCTCTCACACATGCCACAGCTTTCCAAGGGGTCATGAAAACTGATAACTCCTTTGGTCATGGAACCTGCTTCTACCAATGAGGCTGTTAATAATTGACTGATTAAGTCAGTCCATCATGGAGTGCCAAGTGCCCTAAGGGGTGCTAGGTTGGCCATGTGCTGCAGGAGAGGTAGAAGGGACTTTGCAAGGGGCTACACAGTTGCTGGGGGAGCCCGAGGAAAACATGAACATAGATATGAAATGCATTGCTTTTAGTGAAGAACTCCACTTTGCGGCAAGGACTGTAAACATCCTGAGGGGGACATGGTCACAAAAGATTCCAATGAGATGTAGCTTAAGGGAAGAATAATGTGAATCAGCCAGGTTCAAGCAGGAAAACGTGAACCTTAAATAATGTGCCGAGGCAGGGATTTAATATGAGAATCTGACAGAATTGCTGGAAGGGCTGGAGGGAGAAGCAAGACAGATTCCCAGCACAAGATGGACATGGCCCATTGGTCTCCTTACTGTCTGAGGCCACTTCCGGAGCTAGTTAGCTGTACACACACCCCTGCAGCCATGATTCAAAGAGCAGGTGGTCAAAATCCAGGAGAAGCAGCAGCCACAGCTGCCACCCCATTTCCAGGAAGCTGGAGAAGGGACCAGGAACATGAATGCAGAAAATCCTCACAATCCGTCATCTTGTCAGTGATGCCCCCAAAGGGACAGGACAATAGTCCGTGCCTTCCAGAAGAAGCACCTAGTCCACTTTAGAAATCTAGCTGCAAACAGGGTGGGAAATAGCTCTTAGCTTCCCATAGTCTCCAACCAGAAGGAAGGTGCAGTGGAGGTGGGACGGGTGGGAGATGTGTGGTTGGCATGATTTATAGCAACGAGATGGACACAGTTTAAGTGTCCATCCACGGTCTACCCTACCATGGGATTCTGTGCCACCTCGGAGAGGACAATGTTGCCTTTTGATTAATATGACATGAGAAAAGGTTCAGAATAAATCACTAACAAAAGAAAGAAAAAGAGTGAGAGAGAAAAGAACGAAAGAAAGAAAAGAAAAAAAGCAGGCAACAAGATAGAGGTCACCATACAGTTTCTTTTTTGTTAGATGAATTTTTGAAAAATACAAAGTTAAAAAGACCTGCAAGATAAATGGCAACTTTTGGGTGAAAGGAGTGAAGGTATTTTTTTTCCCCTAGAGGTCAAAAGTATAATTTCATAATGATGTAAGGTCAATACGTAGGTCATTATAATCACAAATATGTATGTACCTGACGCATGAAGCAGAGACTGGGAATTAAAAGAAGTAGATCCACAATCGTCACAGATTTTAACATTTTTCTCAGAAATTGACAAGAAAACTGGATTGAAGGTATTTTAAAAATTCTTGCAAACTCTTCCGTGTTTTCCAAACTTTCTACACAGTGCACATATTCTTTTTGACCTAGGACAAAAAAAAAATGCTTTAAAAAAAATCACACAAAAATCTTAAAGGTGCGGGGCCGGGGGGCGGGGCGGCGGGAAGAGCAGCGAAGGTTAAACACAGAGGGGAGGCGCTGAAGGGGTCAAGGAGAGGCTCCAGGATGAGGGCCTCACGAGGTGCAGCTAGTGGGAGCCCTGCAAACTCTGTGTGTGACCTGGGGAAGGCCTGCCCTATTCTGGGTCTTTGTTTCCGCTCCCAAACGTTCGCCTTGGGACTGCAGCTCGAGCGGCAGGGAGAAGGCACTCCAGCGAGCCGTGACACTCCGGGGTGGGGGTGGAGGGAAATGGCTGGGATCCGGGAAGTGGGACTACCGCTTCCCGCACACCGCCCCGACGCGCCCGCGCCTGGGGGGACGAGCTGCCTTGGCCTCTGGGCCGCAGATCTGCGACGCCCGAGGCGCAGGCGGAGCCTCTTGGCAGCTGAGCGGCTGCGCGGAGGCGGGACTTGCGGCGAGCAGGCGGCGGGAGGCTGAGCTACAGCTGCGAGAGCCCGAAGCTGCCCCGGAGCCCGAACCCGCCGCAGGTAATCAGCGCTTTCTCCCTGGGCCCCCAGGCAGGCCGCAGTTCCCCTCTCTGAGATGGAGGCTTCCTTTCTCTGCTTCCCCATCTGGGGACTGGCCTTTCCGCCTTTCCGCGCTGTGGGACCCTCTCCACGCTAACACTTGCGCCTGCACCGCGTTCCCGGGTGGCTCCTGTTGGGCTCGGAGGATGCAGGCCTCCCCAAACCCTCCCGTTAGCTCGACCTCATTGCGCCTGCCATCCAGCCCACTCCAGCAGAGAGCCCCTGATTGTAGCTGAAAGGCCAAGACAGGTGTCACCTCCCTGCAGAAGGGGTGAGGTTGGTGCCATTCGTACTGGGCAATGCAGGAAGTCCGGTTCTTGGACGGTGGACACTAATACTGGGAACCATAAGAAATCTCCCGTGGTCGGGAGGAAACAGAAAGGTAGGGCTATGGGAATCCGGGCTGAGGCTCCTATTCTTAGTTACTATGTGTCCTCCGTCAGTTCCCAAACTTCTCTGATCCCCCGCCTCCTTCCAGGATGCTGGTCCTGATCATCTGACCAGATCACCCCAGGGGTGACTGAGAGTCTCCAGGACTTAACTGTTAAGAAAATGGCTGCAAACTGTAAAGCGCAATGCACGTGAGCAGTGATCTTCCAATTGCAAGTGAAGGCTCCAAGCACAGACCTCATTTAAGCCCCTAGAAGAGCAACAGCCTTGGCTCAGCATGAAAGATTTGCCAGGCTTTGTCTATGACTATCTCTTTCACCTGTTCAGCCTCTCCACCACTCACCTCCCCGTGGGTTGGTTACCCCCCACTTAACCTCCCCTGGGACCCCTTCCTCCTCAGATCCAGGCCTGTTGGAGCCAAAGCTGCTTCTGTCCCAGCATGGGACAGCTCTGAGCAGAGTGGAACCTGAGTGCACCCCGACAGGTCTGCTGGCTCAACTACCCTCCAAGGGAGGGTTTTCCTGGGCAACACTGGCTTGAATGGGGGATCTGGCTGGGTCTTTGCTTTCCAGGATGCCCAGTGGCAGAGGGTGGGGGTGGAGAAGCTGGGTGCAATTCCTTTTGGCTGCTGGGTGGGTCAAGACTCAACTGAGACAGAAAAGATGGAGGGATTGAAGGGTAACAGTTTCAGTGAATCTAGGAATTTTAGACACCATTTAAATGTCACTGAATACATGTTATATTAAATTTTACAATGTTGTTTTAATAAAGTCTGCACCGTTTCCAAGTCCTAGGGAAGAATAAACAGGCGCTTCTTTCCAGCAGCTGCCAGACTTGCCGCACTCTTGGGAAGCTGAGACCTATGCCCCAGGGGGTGGGCTAGGCAGGTTTCTGAGGGCACTGCCAGCTCTGTTGTGCTGGGCGGACAGTTGCCTTGCTTTTTAAGTGCACAGCCCCATTCAGTGTAGCCCCAAGAGGCCTTTCACATAAGAGGAAACCAAGGCACAGAGGGGAAGTGAAGCAAAACCTCGTCTCAGAGAACAATTTTGTCATTCGGTCCCTTTGGTTTCTACTCCATCGTGAGGTCAAACTGTGAACAGTGTTTGTGGAAACCTTGTAGGTCACTGACTGACTAGCTGTGGAGCAGCTGCTCCTCAGCGGGCAGACTTTGAGGCATCAGGGACACAGCAATGAATGAATCCTGCCTCTTGGAGTGGATGTTGTATTGGGGAGAGGCAGGCAAGAAACATATACGTGTGTAAATATACTCTTTTGTGTGTGTCAGGTGGGGAGAAATGGGACAGGAATGGGGGACAGAGTCCTGGCAGTGAGAAAAGCTGCCGTTCTATAAATTTTATAAAGGACAGTCAGGGAAGGCCTTGCCGAGCAGGGGACATTTGATCCAAGACCCAGCAGAGGTGAGGGAGTGAGCTGGAGGATAGATGGGACATGAGGAGGTTGGAACCAGACAGTTCTTTAGGACTATTGCCTACCCCCAGCCCTGATGTACCCACGCCTTTGTAGCCCTTACGGTCCGCATTGTTAGAGGTAGCACCCCTTTACGCTAGCATCTTGGAACCTCTGAGCCGGCAGGCCTCTGGGAGACCACTTGGCCTGCTCTCATCTGTTCACTCTGGTTCCTCCTGTCCCGCTCCAGAGCCGTGAGCATGCTGCGCCCCCTGGTGCCCCGGCTGCTTTGCCTCCGTGGCCGCACCGCCCCATACTCTTCCTCGGCCGTCCTTCCAAGCCCCAACCCAAACCCAGACATCCGCTACAACCAGCTGTTCATCAACAATGAGTGGCAAGATGCCGCCAGCAAGAAGACCTTCCCGACAGTCAACCCTGCCACGGGAGAGGTCATTGGCCACGTGGCCGAAGGGGATCGGGCTGATGTGGACCGGGCAGTGAAAGCAGCCCGCGAGGCCTTCCGCCTGGGGTCTCCGTGGCGCCGGATGGATGCCTCCGAGCGCGGCCGGCTGCTGAACCGCCTGGCGGACCTAGTGGAGCGGGATCGTGTCCACCTGGCTTCACTGGAGACGTTGGACAATGGGAAGCCTTTCCAGGAGTCCTATGCCTTGGACCTGGATGAGGTCATCAAAGTATACCGGTACTTTGCTGGCTGGGCTGACAAGTGGCACGGCAAGACCATCCCCATGGATGGAGAGCATTTCTGCTTCACCCGCCACGAGCCTGTCGGCGTCTGCGGCCAGATAATCCCATGGAACTTCCCCTTGGTCATGCAGGGCTGGAAGCTCGCCCCAGCACTGGCCACCGGCAACACTGTGGTCATGAAGGTGGCAGAGCAGACCCCCCTTTCTGCCCTGTACTTGGCCTCCCTCATCAAAGAGGCGGGCTTTCCCCCTGGGGTGGTGAACATTGTCACTGGCTACGGCCCCACGGCGGGTGCCGCCATCGCCCAGCACATGGATGTCGACAAGGTCGCCTTCACTGGCTCTACTGAGGTAGGCCACCTGATCCAGAAGGCGGCTGGCGATTCCAACCTGAAGAGAGTCACCCTGGAGCTGGGTGGGAAGAGCCCCAGCATCGTGTTGGCGGACGCGGACATGGACCACGCCGTGGAACAGTGCCACGAAGCCCTGTTCTTCAACATGGGCCAGTGCTGCTGTGCGGGCTCCCGGACCTTCGTCGAAGAATCCATCTATGACGAATTTCTTGAGAGAACTGTGGAGAAGGCTAAGCAGAGAAGAGTCGGGAATCCCTTTGAGCCGGACACCCAGCAGGGGCCCCAGGTGGACAAAGAGCAGTTTGAACGAATCCTGAGCTATATCCGTTTTGGCCAGAAGGAGGGGGCACAACTTCTCTGCGGCGGGGAACGTTTTGGGGAGCGCGGTTTCTTCATCAAGCCCACGGTCTTTGGTGGCGTGCAGGATGACATGAGGATCGCCAGAGAGGAGATCTTTGGGCCTGTGCAGCCCTTATTTAAATTCAGGAAGATGGAGGAGGTGATCGAGAGGGCCAACAACACCAGGTATGGCTTGGCTGCCGCCGTGTTCACCCGGGACCTGGACAAGGCCATGTACTTCACACAGGCGCTCCAGGCCGGCACGGTGTGGGTAAACACCTACAACATTGTCACCTGCCACACGCCCTTTGGAGGGTTTAAGGAATCTGGCAATGGGAGGGAGCTGGGGGAGGATGGGCTTAAGGCCTACACGGAGGTGAAGACAGTTACCATCAAGATTCCTCAAAAGAACTCGTAAGAATGGCTACCACTGGATCCACCTCCAGCACAGAGTTCCATAGACCCCTAGACCATGGTTGCCAAGTAGTTTTTTAGCCTCGGACCCTACTTTATTTTTTCCAAATGAACTCTTAGAGGGAAGCTCGACAAATAAAGCAATTAAAATGAGAACTACTCTCATTAAAGCAGGGCTGGGGACTGGACTCAGGTCCTATTCACCAGTGCGTCAGCCCAGCCCCCTCCATGGCCCTGAGTTACTTCCATGAAATCTTGGGAATCTCTGGAAAATAGATTAAAATCTGGACAGTGCCTTTTAGTTCTTCCTTCTGATCCGAGGACCCCCCCACCCCCATGGATTAACCTAATGCTTAGTTGATGGTCTCAGTTCAGACAGAAGATTGGAAAGCATTCGGAGTTTCAAACTAGGTGGATTCCAAATCTTGGCCCCATTCTTCAGTGACGGAACCTAAAAACCAAGGATGCTTTTCCTTTTTTAAGTACCAGTTGCTGGCTATTTTGCTTGCTTACCCTGCATTTTGCTACTGATTTTCATTAATTTGAGGAAAGAAGTGGGCAAATAATGCAATTATTTAACCGCTCCTTTAATATAAACAACTCAAGCGTCCATCAGGTAGTGAGTAGGTAAATGAAATGTTTGCATGGAACGTTCCTTGTGCTAGTCAGCCATAAAAAAGGAATGAAGTCCTGACACATGCCACAATATGGATGAACCTTGAAACCATTAGGCTGAGTGAAAGAAGCCAGGCATACGTACAAGGCCACATACTGTATGATTCCATTTATGTGAAATGTCCAGAATAGGCAAATCCAGAGACAGCACATTAGCAGTTGCCAGGTGTTAGGGGAGGAGAGAATAGGGAATAACTGCTAGTAGGTCTAGGATTTCTTTTGGGGAGGTTTCAAAGGGTTCTGAAACCGGATAATAATGGTGGTTGTATAACTTTGTGAATATACACAAAAGTGCTGAATTGGCCCAGGGATTCACATAAAAGGGTGAATTTTATGATATGTGAATTAATTTCAGTTAAAAATTAAAGATACTTATACATTGTTTGCCAATCACTTTTTTTTTTTTAATCATTAGTCTCTTACAACTGAAAATTTTAGAGTCGTGGGCATGGAAGGGACCCAGGTAGTCATCTAGTCAACCCCCAGCCAGGTGCAGAAGTCCTCTCCCCAGCATATTTCTAGTTGCATTTTTGTTTTCTCTTGGCTGGGTTATAAAGTGTAACTTTAAGACCCATAGAGAAAAGCCCTGGTTCCTGCCTAGAGCAAGTCCATCCGAGTTCCCATTTCGGGCCTTCCCCACTGTCCCCCAGTCCCTACCCCAAAACACTGCCCCTCAAGCAGAGCCCAGCATCAGGGCCTTTCTGACATGTTAGGGATTTCCAGAATTTTGTTTATTTATATTTATTTTTAAAAGATTTATTTGAGAGAGAGAGTGCATGCACTTGTGCATGTGAGCGGGCCGGGGGGTGGGGGACGGTGGAGGGAGAGAGAGAAGCAGACTCCCACGGAGCACAGAGCCTGACATGGGCTGTCTCAGGATTCTGAGATCATGACCTGAGCTGAAATTAAGAGTTGGGTACTCAACCCACAACTACCCAGACACCCTGCTTTCCAGAATTTTAAACCTCAGAGTTCAGTGTCTTCATTGTTAGTCTTCGGACTTCATTCTCCTTCTGAAGGGAGTAAATCCAAGCCAGCCTGACCACGGTACAGAAACAAGGCTGATCCCTCTCTCCTTGTCTTCTATCTTTCTAGACCATGTTGCTCACGCATCACCACACTTTTTGGTTCACTCAGTCTTGGAAATGCGCAGCCTTGGTCATCTCTTTAATGTCCTGTTATCTCACCAAGGCATCAAGACGATTTTTTCTGTGTCTTCAGGAGTAGACTCGAAACTTCCTATGGACTTGGGGTCTGTCTGGGCCCCTCATCTCCCCTTCCTAGGGCCTCCTTTTCACACCATTTTTCTAAGCCTGGGGTGATCCTGACTATCCCCCAAAGGGCACCTTTTATCGCTTCTTCTTGGAGGCTGTTGGCACCTTTGCATGGTAGACAAGTTACTCTCCAGCAGACTGGGGAGGGGGGGTAGGGATGAGAGAGCTGGGCGGCCAGGTAGTGGGGGTCTCTGACCAGGAACAAGCAACATCCCAGTGTTTTCACAGCTCCATTCCTTATCTGCTTCTCAGTACTTCTAAACCAAGAGGAACTTTTAGAGGGTGTCCTAGTGTGGGTGGGACTACAAAAAGACAATCCTCTAGGTCCCTCTCTCCGGTCCCTAAAATTCTGAGACTGATGAGTCCGATAGGACAGCTTCCTAGTCATCTGAGCCCGGAGGCCCCTCTGCCCTCCTTCGTTGCTCTCACTGTGGGAAATGTGAGCAGGAGGTTTAACTGGGCCTCATTCAGTGCAGGATTTCACTCAGTCTTCGATGGGGCAACTCTGGGCCAACACTCATTCAACGAGCTTACACCAAGCGCTTACTCTGTCTGCCACGATCCTGCCAGTCGTCTTTACACACCCCTGAAGCCTCACAATCCCATAAAGTAGGCAGTGGAGTGACCCTCTTTTCAGATGAGCAAGTGGAAGCTGAGAGGATTAGCACGTAGCTCATTGGGATTCAATTTCTCATATGCATACGCTAGGGGCCAGCAAGGGGAGAGCATCTAATCACACCTCAGGAGGCCTCAAGGGCCCACAGTAGTGCTGCTGGACAAGCCCGACACCCTGCTTCCCAGTGGGACCCCCCACCCCGCCCCAGGGCTTCTGATCAGATCCCAGATCCCAGGCCTTTGAAGAGCTCTAGTTTGGGTTGGCTCTATTCTGGGTGTGAGCCTGACCTCTGGTGGCCACCCCGTTAGTTCATTGGCTCAGATTATCCACTGATTAAAAAGAAGCAGGGGGGTGGGGGGACACTCAGGTGCGGGTTCTAGGCAGGTTGTGGGGAAGGAGAATTGAATGAGGCAGGAGCTCCCTCCAGGGGTTCGCAGGCTGCCAGGGAGACCATTCCCGGGAGAGGTGAAAAGTCTGTGCGAAGCAGAAGCAGAGAGGCCACGCAATCACAGAAGGAAAGAAGTGACATTAAGCTCATACAATATTTAAAAGGCACCTACAATATATATGTCTCATTTAATGTCTCTAACTTCCTTCAAGGTACTTATTGTTAGCATTCCACTTGCTAAATAAATGTGGAGGCCCAGAGGTATTCAGCTAGTGAGTGGAGCCGGGATGCGAACTCAGGTCTCCTGACTTTTTACCCACACCCGGCTCGGCCCCAGGGAGAGGCCCAAGGAAGAGGATCTGCAGGGTGAGAAGGAGGTAACCAGGCAGAGATACAGAATGCGTGTTCCTGGGAGAAGGATCTGGGGTTTATGAGAAGGCACAGAGGGTGTGAGGAATAGTTTGAGGAAGGGAGAAACCTGGGAAGAAAGGCCTGGGAGAAGGCAGGGGCTGAATTTATGAAGGGGCTGGCGGCCCTTTGAGGAAGCCCACGGGCTGTCCAGCAATGGGAAGCCATGAGGTTTCCCAAGGAGAGTGAGAGGATTCTATTTTGTTGTTGTTGTTGTTTTAATGATTTATATTTATTTATTTCAGAGAGAGTGAGAGCATGAGCAGGGAAGGGAAGAGCAGAGGGAGAGGGAGAAGCAGGCTCCCTGCTGAACTGGGAGCCCGACCCAGGGCTCCATCCCAGGACCTCGGAATTATGACCTGAGCCAAAGGCAGACACTTAACCAGCTAAGCCACCCAGGCAGCCCCCCGGTTTTGGTTTCTAAGGCTGGTTATGGCTTAGTGGGAGGATGGGTTGAGGGATCGCCCTGGAGCTGGACACCACTGCCAATGCCGCCGACACGATGCTGACCTGAGCCAGGTGTGAGGATGGGTGGCAGAGCCTGGCGGCCCCGAGGTGGGCTTCTGGGTGTGGTGAGTGACGGCTGCAAGAGGATCATGAGGTTAGGGGGACCCATGCTCCCTGCTGGGGACAAAGTGGCAGTAGTGCTAGCACTGTGAAAGGGAACCCAGCTGGAGGAGCGGATTTGAGGACGAGGTGGAGAGTTTACTTATTTATTGGTTTATTCAGCACATTGTACGAGTGCTGACCATGCACTAGGAACTATTCCAGGTGCTGGGGACATGGCAGGGAACTAAACATGAGTCCTGAACATTCTCCCCGATGGGAGAGGCTGACCATAAGTAAAATAAGGGAAACATTTAGTCCATCAGATGGATAAGGTTATAATGGTGAAAAGCCCCACTGGAAAGGAGAATTGGGAATGTGGCTGAGGTGGGGTAGGAAGTGTAGTTTTCAATAAGGTGCTCAGAGATGTTTACAGTTAAGAGATGACAAAGGTCTGAAAGACGTATGGAAATGGCAGGGGCAAAGGCCCTGAGGCTGGAGCACATCTCGGGGGTCAGAGAACACAAGGAGGCCAAGGAGCTGGGGTGGAGTGAGCAAGGGCTCTAGATGCACATAGAGCTTTGAAGGTCAATTAGAGCCTTTACTGTGAATGATGAAGGAGGCACTGGGAGGTTGTGAACAGAGCAGTGACATGATCTGACATGTTTTAAAATGATCACTGGAACTGCTGTGTTGACCACAGATTGCAGGGAAAACAAGGATAGCTTGATCCTGATAATGCCAACATCAAAGGTGAGTGGAGAATGAGAATTCCTTAAGGATCCTAAGGAGAAGCAGCTGGGAAGCAGGAGGAAAACCTGAGAGAGAGGAGTCAAGAAACCAAGGAAAGCAGGAGTTTGCAAAAGGATGGAGCCATCGGCAGAGTCCAGTGCTTCCAAGAGGTCAGGTAAGAGGACTGAGAAGTGTCCCCTGGCTGAAGCCATGGGGTCCCTGCAGACTTGGTAAGGACAGTTTGTGTGGAAGGGTAGGGACGGAAGCCAGACCACTATAGGTTGAGAACAGCACTTAATCCCCCCAAGCCCCAGGGCTCTGTAGATTGATCCTAGAGTTGGAAGACCTTGTGAGGAAAGTAAGAA